ACCTGGATTCAGTTTTAGGGGAAAAAAAAAAAAAATAGCTCAACTTAAAAGTCTGAGTGATTAAGGAATTATTTTAAAAAATATTTTATTATTTTTATTTTATGTGTATGAGTGTATTTCCTGTGGAGGTCAGAAGAGGGCATCAGATTCCCCTGGAACTGGAGTTACAGACAGTTTGTTAGCCATCATGTAGGAGCTAGGAATTGAACCTGTGTCCTCTGCAGGAGCAGTGCTCTTAACCACTGAGCCATTCTCAAGCTCCCAAGGAATTATTAAAAAAAAAAAAAAATTAATTTATTTTCTGGCCGGGTGTGGTGGCGCACACCTTTAATCCCAACACTCATGAGGCAGAGGCAGGCGGATCTCTGTGAGTTCAAGGCCAGCCTGGTCTACATAGTGAGTTCCAGGACAGCTGGGACTACAGGGAGACCCTGTCTCAAAAAGACAAAAAAAAAAAAAATTTTTTTTTAAAAATTTTCTATTACATGTGTGCATATCTGTCAGGATGGAGGTACCTGCACATGAGTTGCAGGTGTCCATGGTGACCAGAAGATCATTTGGGTCCCCTGGAGTTGGAGTTACAGGAGGTTTTGAGCTGCCTGAGTGTTGGTGGGACTTGAACTTTGATCCCCTGAAAGAACAGTATTAATTCTTAACCACTGTGTCATCTCTCCAGCCCCTAAAGAATTACTTTTGCTGGGGGCTAGAGAGATGCCTCAGCAGTTAAGAGTGCTGGCTGCTCTTGCGGAGGATCCAGGTTCAATTCTCAGTACCCACGTGGTGGCTAACCACCATCCATAACTCCAGTTTCAGGGGAATTCCAACACCCTCTTCTGACCTCCTCAGGCACTGTACGGCATAGGTGCACTTATATACATGCAGGCAATATACTCATACACATAAAAAATAATAAATAAAATATTAAAAAGAATTACTTTTTCCTTACACATATAATTTATACTATGATAAGAACAGAAAACTAGGGGCTGGAGAGATGGCTCAGCGATTTAGAGCACTAACTGCTCTTGCAGAGGACCCAGGCTCGATTCCCAGCACCTACATGGCAGAATAAAAAAATAAAAATAAATAAATTAAAAATAATAAATAAAATATTAAAAAAAGAACAGAAAACTAGTATTGCCTTCTTAGGCAAACACAGGTGTTCTTTTTTCATTTCAACAACAGTGACAGATATATGTAATAAGCACTATGCTAAGGAAAGTGCTGGAGGCGATAAGAAAAAAAGTCATTTACTTCTGGAGCAAAAGTTAAGAGGTTAAATTTACCTCAATGACAATAAAAAAACATTTCTTTTGTTAATTTATTTGTATGTGCATAGGGGGCAGGGTTGTATTTAAAACAACTTGTAGGCTGTTCTCTCTTTCCACCATGTGGGTTCCAAGGATAGAACTCAGGGCAGCAAGCACCTCAATCTGCTAAGCCATTGCACTGGCCCCAAACTTTCATTTTCTTAAAACTAGATAGCTAGAGCTATTTGAGAGGCTACATTTAAAATATTTTATTTATTATTTTTATCTTATGTATATGAGAGTATTGCCTCCATTTAAGTACACCTGTGCCATGCAGCGCCTGAGGAGGTCAGAAGAGGGTGTCAGATCCCCTAGAACTGAAGTTATGGACGGTTGTTAGCTGCCATGTGGGTACTGGGAATCAAACCCAGTCCTCTCCAAGAGCAGTCAGTGCTCTTAACTGCTGAGTCATCTCTCTAGCCTGTGAGAGGCTACATTTAAAAAGAATAAAAGCTGGGCATGGTGGCACATACCTATAATCCTAGTACTTGGGAGGCAGATGCAGGAGGATCACTGACATCAAAGGCTGGGTTGGTATACATAGCGGTTCTAGGCCAGCTAGGGTTACCTAATTGGACTCTTTGGAAAAAATTTATTATTGGCTGAGCATTGTGGTGCATACCTTTACTTCCAGCTTTGGGAGGCTGACAGATCTCTGAGTTCAAGGCCAGCCTGGTCTACATAGCAAATTCTAGGTCAGCCAGTGTTACATAGTAAGACCTCATCATGAACAACAACAACAACAACCCCCCCCCAAAACTGTGTGTATGTGTATAGTGTGTTTGGGGAAGTCAGAGGACAATTTTCCACAGCTGGTTCTCTGCTTCTACCAGGGGTTCTAGGATTGAACTCAATTCCTCAAGACTTGTGTGACGAGCTTTTATTCTTTGAGCCATCCTGTTGGCCCCCTACAGATGTTTTTACCTTCTGATTTCTTGGTTCATTATAAAACTTACTCTACCTTAAATCTGACTGAGATATATTGGAGGGTTACTGAATTGCCATAAGGAGAGGAGTGTGTTGTAGTCATGCTAAATGTCGATGCTAGAAAAATTTGCTACTTTAGTCAAATTAGTCTACTAGAGTTGTCTTGGTTAAACAGATTGTTAGTAAGATCAGCTCTGCTGAGCTGTGACTCTCACCGCCTCTTTGCCTCTGGCATATTTTAGTTCCTCATCCCACAATTGCTGTTGTTCAGCCTCCAGGTCTTTGGTTAATTTATTAATGGTCTGCTGCAGTTCATTTTTTTCATGGTTTATTCTTTCAATGTCGGCAACTGAGTATTTCTGGTTATCAACGATATTCTGCAGCCGCATATTCTCCTGTTTTATTGTTTCACATTCTAATTCTGCATTGGAAGAAACAGCATTTTTAGTTTCTTGAACTTCTACAAAGAAACCTGGAGTCAGAGAGATGGTTGTTAGCCTCTATATGGGTGTTGGGAATCAAACCTAAGAGCAGCCAGTGCTCTTACCCACTGAGTCATCTCTCCAGCCCCTACAATTAAGACACATTGGTCCTCTTGCAGAGAATCCAGGTTCAGTTCCCAGCATCCACATGGCAGTTAAGAATCGTCCATAACTCCAGTTCCAGGGGATCTGATGCCCTCTTCTGTCCTCTGTGAGTACTGCACGACACAGGTGCACTTACATACATGCAGGCAATACATTCATACACATATAATAATAATAAAAGACTTCTGAAAAAGCATAGCTTGTCTCTGTTAATGTTCATTTGAATGCTTTTAATACTCTTATACTAATTTTCTGAATAATTCAGAAATGTGTGTTTCTGTAGCACAATAGTTGGGAATCAGTCTATACCTGATTTGGTTTTAAGTAACTATACATTTAATACATATCTGCACGACATATCTATGAAGAATTTAAAGATTTCCTATTCATTCTTAGTCACAAATGACTTTAAATAATTAAGGAAGTTAAAACACTCAAGAGTACTGAAGCAGACAGAAGATGAAATACTGCTCTCATCTACTCAGTTTGCAATTCTTGGATAAAAAAAGAAACTTCTCCTAAACATAAGCAAGTGGAGCTGATGAGACAGTTCTGGTAAAGGACCAGTGGTGCAAGCATTAGGACCTGAGTTCAGATACCCAGCACCCATGTAAAAGCTGTGCAGGGGACATGCATCTGGAACCCCAGGGCTGGGGGGAAGGTGGAGGTAGAGGAATCGATGGCCAACAAGCCCAGCTGAACTAGGCTTAGATGAGCTCTAGGTTCAATGAGACCCTGTCTCAAAAACTAGGATGAAGAGTGATTAAGAAAGACCCCATCTCAACCTCTGGCCTCCACATACACACCCCTACACGTATACACCTTATGAAGACACACACACATACAAACACACACAAAAAGAGTAAGTGTGTAGTTCTTTTGATTATGTGCTAGTAGGAAGATAATGTTAGTACCGATTTAACTGTTACACTGGTAGAGCAGAAAAATTGTTGATGATACTTTGTCATGAAAGAGAATAAGCAAAAGACTGCCTAAGCAGTCAAGGACACACACACAATATTTAAAGAGCTTGTTAAGAGCAAATCTAATATGCATAGCTGGAGTACTTGGCAGTAAACCTGATTTTAGCACACTCTGTAACAATCACAAGCCTGGACTTGATAGAGGATCGAAACTACACAGATGAAGAGCTAAATCAAATACCCTAAAGATCATCTACACACCTTCTCCATGGGGTAGACACCACCTGTGAAATCCTAAAGGAATAAAATGCAGAGTTCTAGGAAGTGTACAGCTGTCCATACATTTATCTTTAAACTGCAGCTCAATGGCCATGATTTGTAGGTGCCTTCGCTCTGCTTCTGGCACCACAAACGTTGGCAAGCAGCACATGCCATAGTATTTTCCTGAGTTTAACAGGTACGGCCGATACATGTTCATGAGAACAATGGTAGGAAGATGCAGGGCACACGCACAAGCTTTCCTTAGTTATGCTTTTGCTTCTAAGAAATGGAATACATGCAGCTGTTCAGTTTCAGATGTTTACGAGGGAGTGACAGAGGATAAGAGAGTTATAATCATCTGAGGCAGTCAGAGATCAAGAATCTAGCTTAATAAGGATGACAAGATGGCTGAGTGGGCAAAGTCCTTGCTATGTAAGGCTAACGAACTGAGTCTGATTCCCAGAACCATGAAAATGTGGAAGAAGTAACTCCATAAAGTTTTCTTCTGACTTCCATATAAGCCTTAGGCATGCTCACATACAATAAAAAATAAAAATTTTTTAAAAAGTTATAAAAAATTAGCTTAATTATAATGTATAACAGAATACCTATTTATATAGTATATAGGATACATATTGTAATGTAGTATATATATGTATATATAAAAAATAGATACATGTTCACATTCACTTTGTGTTCTTAAGAGTAGTCTCCATTGGTTTCAAAAAGCCATGTGATTAAGACAAGCATGCACAGTGATACCTGACAACTCTAAACTCTTATGTCTTTTTCAGAATGCTACCTGCCTTAACCGAAAATTTTAAATGGGTTAGCAAATTAAGCTTCTTAAAAGTTAGATTATTATTATTTTTTTTACATTTTATAGAACTCTCAATGAAAACATGTCAGTGTAGCACTTGGGAGGCTGAGGAGGTCAACTGCCAAAAGTTTGAGGCTGTACAAGACCCTATCCAAAACCAAAAAAGCCATGTGCTTGAAAACATGTTAGAAGATACAGCAGGTTGGGTAATGGCCAACCCAGTATATGAAGTCCCAATCTCTGGAACTTGTTTTTTTAAACACTATCTTATTTGGAAAATGGTCTTTGTAGATGTGATTAGGAATGCTGATGTGAGATAACCCTGGATTATGCAGGTACACATTAAATTCCATCCTAAGAGTCCTTCTAAGATTGAGGCAAGAGGGATAGCACGAAGACACAAAGAGGACAGAAGGTAGAGCGGTAATTTATAGTCCTAGGATTTGGGAGTCTGAAGCAGTAGGACTGTGAGATTGAGGAAAGCCTGGACTACAAATTAAGACTCTCAAAAATAATCCCAAAACAACAAAAAGTACCTGGTTGTGGTAATCCCCGCCCTCTGGAGGTTGAGGAAGAAAGCCCATCTTCTGTTCCAGACTAGTGTGGGACACAAAATGAGATACTATCTAAACTAATGAAGTACTTACCTACCTACCTACCTGCCTGCCTGCCTGCCTGCCTGCCTACCTAAAGGACTTAGAGGGAAGGCAATGTGAAGACGGAGACAGACTAGAGTGATGTGAACATCAGCCCAGGAATGCTGTCGGTCACCAGAGGCTTCAAGGAGAGAGCCTTCCTGAGTCCCTGGAGGGTACGGATTTACTGGATTTTGGATTATAGTATTTATAACCGTGAAAGAACAAATCTTTATTGTTTTAATTCATAAAGTTAGTGGTAATTTATTCTAGCTTGGTAGCTTGCTATACAAAGTTACCATAGAAGGAAAAAAGGTAACACAGCTATTTGCATAGTAGACAGAGGGCCATAGCTGAGCTGCATGACTGCTTTTGTTATTAGCTATGCTTACCCACTCTAGCAATTTCTTCATCAAGACCATTCAATTTCTGGTCTAGAATGGCCGAATGAGATTCCAAATTGCTCATGTATGCTTGATACTTTTGAACATCTGCTTGTAAGGAAGTTTTCAGTTTCCTCAATGACTCCAGACGATTCTTTAAGAGAAAAGCACATTAAATTATTTATTCTCACTAATAAGCATTCCATACTTTAAAGAAAGCAGTATTATTTAAGCTTATCTTACAGAAAAGCAAATTAACATTTCCTTTCATGTTTAAAAGGAATCAAAACAACAAAACAAAATCTCAAAAAACAAATCAACCTCCACCCCAAACAACAACAAAAAAACCCCACCTATATTATTATAATCTATTTAAGGAGGCAGACTTTTCAAAAAGTCAGATTAGGATAGGAAAAAGCCAAGAACAATACAGAAACAAAATATTTAAAATCTGATTATTTTACAGAACAATCAGGTGCTCTACTAATAAAATACAAAATAAAGATACCGGGGTCATGGTTTTACTCTTATGAACATGTCGGATGCACTATCAATATCTAAGTTCACTTTTTTGGTAACTACAAACCTCAGGGTCTCCAGAGAACTAGTGCTCCCTGGAGGTATATACTCTGGAGGTATATACTTTGGGGACCTTGCTCAAAAGATACTTCTGGTCTTATGTAAATAGGCAGGAATCTTTCATCATATTCTGAGCACCATTAGTTTAAGACTGGTAGACCACAAGGGAAAACAAAGTGCCACAGATACCAAATATGTTTTCATTGAGAGTTCTATAATATGTAAAAAAAAAAAAATCTAACTTTCAAGAAGGTTCATTTGCTACCCCATGTAAAATCATTTTTGGTTAAGGCAGGTGGCATTCTGAAAGAGACACAAGAATTCAGAGTTGTCAAGTACATACGCATGTTTACTCACCGGTTCTTTTTCTCTTTCTTGTTCCAATCTTGCAATCTGTTCATTTAATGCTTTGTTTTTTGCTGCTAATGATTCCAACTTGGAAGCATCTACATTATATAAATCCTCTAGAGACAAAGTCCAGAAACTTCATCAGAATCAAGAATCAGCGCCAGGTTTGTCCTCCTGTTTTGTTTTTTTTTTTGGTCTTTTTGAGACAGGGTCTTCCTGTAGCTGCAGCTGGCCTGGCCTGGATTCTCTAGGGAGACCAGGCTGGCCTCGAACTCAGAGATCCGCCTGCCTCTGCCTCCTGAGTGCTGGGATTAAAGATGTGCGCCACCATGCCTGGCTCATCCTCATGTTTCAACACTGCTTGCTCCCTCACTTCCTGAATTGCCATCAGTGCAGGAAATACTATTTTTTGTAGAACGGCAAGCCCTTCTTTTTACTCCACGACATGTTCTATTGCCCTTAACCTGCTAAATTCTTCTCCACAGCACTTACCATCATGGGATTTACAGTTCCTCACTTAGTTGTCACTTTTTATTTTCTAACAGAATACAAGAACATAGGCTAATATTTTCTTATTCATTACTATATCCTTGGTACCTAAATGGTGGCTAGCACAGAGTAGGTATGTAATAAACATGTTTGGATGCATGGATTACATGCTTAATTAATTATATCTGGAAATGTCAAGTAATTCACTAAATGTTTTCCATATTGGATCGCTATGAATTTTTGTGTATGTGTGGTATACTGGTCATACGTATGCATGTGTGTAGGTATGTTTGTGTGTGCACATAGAGGCCAGAGATGGACATTGTTTCTTTCTCAGTCATTTTCTTCCTTGCTTTTTTGAGACAGGGTCTCTCACTGATCCTAGAGCTCTCTGGTTTGGTTACAGTAGCTGGCCAGCAACCTCCAGGGATCTTCTGGTGTCTACTTTCCTAACACGGTGGCTACAGACGCACACTGCTGCACTTACTTTTTACATGGGTGCTAGGAATCAGACTCAGGTGCTCTTTCTTGTTGAAAGGACACTTTATTGACTGAGTTATTTCCTTATCTTTGACTTTTCCTCTCTTAAAACAAAGCATTATGGGGCTTGGGAGATAGCTCAGTGGTTAAGAGCACTAACTGCTCTTACAGAGGACATGGATTCAGTTCCCAGCACCCACACAGTGACTGACAACCATCTGTAACTCCAGTTCCAGAGGATCCAATGCCCTCTTCTGATCTCCCAGGGCATTGCATGACATAAGTACTGTGAATGACATGGGTATACCTATGTACATGCAGGCAATATACTCATACACATGCACAAAAAAAGACAAAGCACAACAAAACAAAGCATTGTTATCTGGCTGTGCTCTCTCCCATGTGGACAAGCTGAAACTCCTCTGTTTACTCTTTAGGATGGTACATTCCAAGAGAAAAAAGTTTCACCTTTTTATGCCATGGGTGTCAAGGCACAGTATTCCTGTTTTGATATATCACTAGATAATACTGAATGTAAAAGAATTTGGAAATGTAATGACCTGTTAATTTTCTCTAAGTTTTTTTTTGCTGAGTTTTTGTACATTCATACAACAGTTCTTACTCAAATTTAGACCCCCTCCCCAATCCATGTCCCTCCCACCCTGTGTATTCTGCCATACGTGTCAAGTCCTGTCCAGTAGATCTTTTCGCTACATTGTGCTTTAATTTCTTATCTACTAAAGCACGGATGTAACAGAGATATTATTCTCCAGGAGAAATTGCATTTGCGTCTTCTGTGCTCCTGGTAGGGAGCATTTGTATTTTATTATGCTACTTTTTAATTCACAAAGTTTTATCAGAGAGGTCAAGTATTTCTTAAATTCACATAGCAAGTAAGGTGTTATGACTCAGGTCTGATGCCAATACCAGGATTCTTTTGGCTTAACTAGTATTTCTTTCCATCAGAGAGCAGTAAAGACAAGAACCTGGGGCACTTTCAAGCAGCTCATGCGAACATGAGGCATGGTGAGATAAGCTACCCCTACCGAGTCAAGCGACTAGAAAGAGCACGCTGGAACTCACTCAGCTTGGACTGTAGCTCTGCATTCATCTCTTCAAAGCTGTCAGCACCAGTCATGAAACTCTCATAGCATTTTATGGTGTAGTCCAGAAACAGCTGATAAAAAAAAAAAAAAAAAAAAAAAAAAAAAAAAAAAAAAAAGGCATGATTCTCTAGTTTGTTTTCATTTTTCTGACTGGTAACTAAATTTGAATAAAAATAAGCCAAGAATAGTTTAGTTATATAACTTTCTAAGAGATTAAAACTCCTATCAATAATTGTGTTATAGAGATGCACAACATCCCCTACTTCTAAATATGAATGGGGATTAAAGCTTATAATTAAATGTAATTCAATATAAAATGCACAAACTTAATCATCTTTGAGAATAATACACCTTATGAAAAATATAAATGGATTCATGATTATTTAAGTCCAATTAAACTGACAGGACCTAATCATAACAGAATATAATTAATAAAAGCTGTAACTACATTGAAATACCACATAAAAAATGACATGTAAATCAACACATAAGCAGTAGACTATTAGAGTTGTTAACATTTATCCAAGAAAAAGTAAGTCTATATTTTTAGTCATGAAGCATTTTGGTCCCAAAGACTACAGATCTTATTTTATTTTGAGACAGGGTCTCCCCATAGCCCCAGCTGGCATGGAACTCACCATGTAATCAGGCTGACTTCAAGCTCCCAGAGATCCACCCACTTCTACCTTCCAAGTGCTAGGATTAAAGGGGTGTGCCAACATGCCCAATTCATTTTTTAAAAAAAGTATATACATTTATTTATTTTAATTTCATGTATATGAATATTTTGCCTGCATGTAAGTGCACCACATGCATACAATGCCTGTGGGAGCCAGACGAGGGCGCTGGATCCCTTGGAACTGGAGTTAGGGATGGTTGTTAGCCACCATGTTGGGAACTGAACTGGGGTCCTCTGGAAGAGCAGTCAATGGCTGGGCCATCTCTCCAGCCATATCTTTTATCATCTGTCCATCTATCTATCCATCCATCCATCCATCCATCCATCCATCCATCCATCCATCCATCCTTCTGAGATAGGGTCTCTCTGTAGGTCCAGCTGGACTGGAACTTGCTATGTAGACTAGGCTGGCCTTGAACTCACAGAGATCCTCTGCCTGCCTCTGCCTCCTGAGTGCTGGAATCAAAGGTGTGTGCCACCACACCTGGCCAGTTTTTAAAAGAATCTCCTATTGCCACTTTCCTAGACCAACATAATTTTTTACTATAGTCTAGTTTCTTTATATTCACAGACAAGTATAGTTCTCATCACTCATCAAAGATGTACCTTTTTGCAATGGATGGAGATTTTACAAAGTTCCACAACTGGTCAAAATGCAGGTAGTAAGTGACTGTGGGGTGCCCAGTCCTAACTGATACATCTACAATGCAACCTCTACACCTAAGGCTCAGTGAACATCACAGGAGACAGAAAGATTGTAAGAGCCAGAGGAACAAGATGCCTGTTGCTACACTATGCACTTTAGACATGCTAGGGAAGCTGCACTCACGAAATCTCAGGATGGAAGTCTAACAAGATCTGCATAATGACAAAACCAGTTGACATGCCAGTGTGGATGGGGGAGTTTTCACAGGGTCCCACTTCAATGGATGCTGAGGGAGGGAGAATCAGTTTTCTCCAGGGATGAGCTCCCTGAGGGATTATCTAATTCCAAGTGGGCAGCCCTAAACACATGTACACAGATGTGAATTTATAAGTGTATGCACATTATGTAATAATAACAAGGAACAGGGTAAGAAATTGGGAGTGGGGAGTGACATGGGAGGAGTTAGAGGTGGAAATGATGTAAATACAATACTCATGTATGAAATGCTCAAAAAATATTTTTGAGACAGTTTTGGAACTATGTAGGCCAGGCTGGCCTTCAATTGGTGATCCTCCTGCCTCTGCTTCCTGAGTGTTGGAATAACAGGTATATGACACCACACCTGGTTCTAAGACTGACTAATCACAATTCTTCACAGCCTAGATGAAGTACATATCCCTCAAGACTCAGAAATCCTTGCACTAATTCTGTGCTTACTAAGCAATCTTCTCCTCACTTGGTTGATACGGAAGGGATGCCCTAAATAGGTAACAGGAGTATTCCTGTGATTGGAAAGGTACACAACTGACAGTAAATGATACATTTTCATGCCACTTTGGATTACTCCTGTGAACGTGCTAAGAGTGAATCAGTTTCTGTAGGTGTGGTCAATTTGGATCCTAAAGAGATTTTTAAAAGGTCGTAGAGCTGAGGATCAGAAGCTGAAGATGGATCCTGAGATAACTTAGCATAATTAAAAAATAGTACTTTAAAGTCCCCAAGGTGCTTACCTTGATACAGTCATTTGAAATAATGGCTCAGATGGCCAGAGGAACTTTCTTAACTGTTATAATGAATGTTAAGAAATTTAGTAGCTGTATTCAGGTAGAAATTGAAGCACAAATAAACATTCTAGATACACACACACACACACACACACACAGACACAGAGGACACTGAAATGTAGAATCCCCCCCCCCCCCAAAAAAGAGGCAAAAAAGAAGGAGGGAAGATCGCCCCAGAGGTTTTGTTGTTTTTTTTTTAACCCCCCCCCCCCCCCAACACAGAGGACACTGAAATGTAGGAGAATTCCCCCTAGGAGTTTTGTTGCTGTTTCTATTGTGGTACTAAGAATCAAGTGCTTGCTCTGTATGGAGCTCTATTTCAAGCCTGGTAAGTCTTTCAAAGAAAGGATAAAAGATATCTAGAAGCCTCTCCAGCATGGATCACTGCTGAAGAAGTAAACTAGTGTTTGTTCTTATTTTTTCTTAAAGGTTAGTGAGATGGCTCAGTGGTAGAAGTACCTGATAAACAAGCCTGCTGACTGAGATCAACCCTCAGGGCCCGTGGTGGAAGGAAGGACTCAACTCCTGAAGGTTGTCCTCTGACTTTCCACATGAGCACATGGCACACACACATACACTATTATTTTTAAGAGCAAAGATATTCTACCAGTCAGCTGATGTATCTTTGAACTCTTCCCAGGCAACACTAAATGTGACTAGAACAATCCCACTTTCATACTATGAGAGAGATCCAACAAGGTTAAAACTAGCACACAAAATAACTAATTCTCAGAGGCGTATGTGGTAATTGGTTCTTTAAGCATGTTAAGGAACATGTATAATCCCAAGTTTATTCTTGAGTTGGTTTTCATATTTTAGGAAACGGCAGCATTGCCCTCATGCAGTTTGGGTTATAATAAAGCATGTATTAGGTTTTATAAAGCATATGGAACTGATTTATACCACCCGTTGACTGCTTTGTTCCCGACATTCGTGATCTTCCTGCCTTGGCTTCTGGTGTGCCGGGATTATGGGAACCTGCCACCACACTCAGCTGTTTACTACTTTTATCACAACTGCTTTTGGAAGTGGCAACTGAGCAAAGTGACAACGTGCCTGACTAAAGAAGCCAAGACAAAATAAACGCAGAATCCACATGCAATATTTGAAGACCCAATCTGTGTTAGTCCTGTGGTCCTAGCTACTTGTGAAGCTGATGTAGAAGGATGGTGAGTTCAAGGCTTCTACTGACTACAGAGTAAGTTTAAGTCAGCCTAGGTAACTTAGTGGACCGCATGTTAATAAGAGGGGGTGGGGCTAATATTTAGCATGCAAGATGCCCTGGGTTCAAACCCTAGCACTCAACCAGGTGTGGCACATGCCTTTCTTCTTGGCACTCAGGAGGTAGAGGCAGGCTAATATCTATGTGTTTGAGGTCAGTGTGGTCTCTATAGTGCATCCCGGGCCAGCCAGTGCTACATAGTATGACCCTGCCTCAAAAACTCAAACCCAAACCCAAACCCAAATTAACCCCTTTAAAATAAAAACCAGCCAAACAGGGACTGGAGAGATGGCTCAATGGTTAAGAGCACTGGTTGTTAACAACCGTGTATAATTCCAGTTCCAGGGAATCTGTCGCCGCCTTCTTCTGGCTTCTGTGGGCACTGCATGACACAGGTGCACTGACACACATGCAGGCAATACACTCATACATATAAAACTAAATAAAAATAAAAATAAAACAACCAAACAAAAAAACCCCTTCTAACATTCACCCCAAAATATGGTAATGCTTTGTGTTGATAAATAATTACATTAAAATCAGATATAGGAGGAAAAAAAACATATATGACATAGAATATTATGATTTAATTCTAATACATTTACAGTTCAATTTAACATTTTCAAATTTCTGTGGTTAATAATTTTAGAAAATTATAACGTGACTTCAATAGTAGGGCCCCTATTTTTTTTTTTTTTTTTAAAGATTTCAATTATGTACATGTGTGTTTGTGCCTATATGCATGTGAATGCAGATGCTGGAAGAGGCCAGAAGAGGTGCCTAATTCCCTAGAGCTAGAGTCACAGGAGTTTGTAAGCTGCCCAATTTGGGTGCTAGGAATTGAACTTGGGTCTTCTGAAAGAGCAGTACAAGCTCTAAGTACAAGCTGCTAAGTCATCTCTTCACCATGATTAGCATTTTTATAAATTAATTTTAGGCTGGACATGGTGGCACATTCCTTTAATTCTAGTACCTAGGAGGCAGAGGCAGGCTAATCTCAGTGAGTTCCAGGCCCGTCAAGGCTACATAGTGAGACCCTGACTAAAAATCAATTTTAGAAGTTTCTTAAAGCAAAAGACAAGTTCTATAAAAAGAAAACAGTGCCACATTTAGTTAATAACATCAAAGCAACTATATACCACTTATAGTAACGCATGGTACCTTATTGTGTATAATCCCATCTTCAGTCTCTTCTCCCCAAGGCTGTCCATCATCAAATAAAGGTGAGCTTTCTTTCATGGCAATATGTATCTAGTTAGTATACAAACAATACATTGAGTTGATATTTTGCAAAATTCATTTTATGGAGTCACTTTTAGAATCATTTCATTAGGTGACTACAAGACTTTTAAGAAAGATACTATATTGAGTCTTGCTGGGCATGGTAGAGCATGCCTTTCTTTAACCCCCACTGGAGAGACAGAGTCAGGCAGATCAGATCAAAAAGGCCAGCCAGGTCTACATAGCAACTTCCAGGCCAGCTGAGGCTACATGAAGAACCTGTTTCAAAAAACCAAAACCAAACCAAACAAACTTATACTGAGTCTTAAAATATGACCCTTCCTGTGTTAGTAACAAAGACTTCGAGATTTAGAAAGAATGGGTTCTGTATTTAGTTCTATGTCATAGAAGAAAAATATGCTGACCTGTATGCTCTTACCAATACAGAAAGAGTATATATATATGCATTTATTTATTTATATTTTATTTATTGTTTTATTTTATGTGTATGAATGTACTGCCTGTCTGTATGTGACAGCACCTGTGTCATGCAATGCCCATGGAGGTCAGAAGAGGGCAGCCAATTCCCTTGGAACTGAAGTTATGGACAGTTGTTAGCTGCCATGTGGGTGCTGGGAACCCAACCTGGGTTCTCTGCAAGAGCAACCAGTTCTCTTAACCACTAAGCCAACTCTCCAGCCCCCTTATTTATTGTTTATGTGTATATGTACGCACACATGTGTAGCAGGGTGAGTGTGTGGAGGTCAGAGATTTACACAAAAAATTCAAATTTAGAGTTGGACACAGTGACACACAACTGTAGTTCCAGTTATTCACAGGACTGCTGCAGGAGGATCACTTGACCCCAGAGTTTGAGTACAGCCTGAGCAATACAGTGAGATCCACTTTCAAAAACCCAGACAACTTGGGGCTGGAGAGATGGCTCAGTGGCTAAGAGCCATCCTGCTCTCCCAGAGGACCTGAGTTCTGTTCCTAGCACCCATGTCAGAAGGTTCACAATACCCTGTAAATTCAACTGTTCTGGCTTCTGACCTCTCTGGCCTCCAAGGGTACCTGCAACTCATATGCACATACACATAAATAAAATTTTCAAAAAAGGATAAAAAAGCTCAACCAACCAACCAAACAACCAACCAACCAACCAAAAAAGAAATGATTCAAACTAATAGTGAAGCAAGTTGTGAAATATAAAATAGGGCAAAAATATGTATAGGCAAGCTAAAATAATAATAATACAATGCCTATTGCTTAGGCAATGAGTATGCTCATATGCTGCCAGACAGTTTTTATAGAAGCTCAAGTGCTTTTTTTTTGCCTTGTGGTGGTAAGGATGGAACCCAGGGTTTTCTGCATGCCAGGTAAGAACTCTACCACTAAGCCACATACGCAGCTCCGCTGAGTCATTTTTAATTGCTACAAGTTTCCCTGGGAGGAGGTTTATCGTACGTGTCAAAAACTTAATATCCAGCCACACATCCCCTTAATGGGGACACATGCATCAGGTGACTGTGTTGTCTGAACATCATAGTGTACTTATACAAACCTAGATGATACAGGTCAATTACTCAGTGCGGCTCCTGGATCTAGTCAAGAGACACGATACAGGAGGCCTCCTGTCTTAAACATTTGTTTTAAGTAAGTAAGAGTATACTGTAAAATAACGATAAGCAGTAGAGCATAGTACACACAGTAGGCAGTGCTGTAGTTGTTCATCAAGAGCACAAGGATCATGTATGTAAGTGCATGTGCTACACTTTTATATGACTGGCAGCACAGTAGGTTTATATCAACATCACCAAAGACATGAGTAATTTTTTACAATGGCTAGATAGAAATATTTCACATTTGTGATAATTTTATGGGACCACTGTCACAATATGCTATTCACTGACTGAAGCATCAGTACGAAGCACGTGACTGCACATACTTCGTGAAGTAATAAAGGACTTTTAAGCCTGTCTTTAGGGCTGGAGGTATAGCTCAGTGTTACAGCCATTGCTAGGATGTGTCAGGTCCTGGGTCCAATCCCTAGTACCACAAAAACAGGAAAATTGTATAGGGGATAGAGATGGCTCAGTGGTTAATTGGGCCTGTTGTTCTTGCAGAAGACCCAGGTTCAGGTCCCAATGTCCAGTGGTTCATATCTGATGCCCTCTTCTGGCCACTGTGAGCACCTGAACACATATACACATATAAATCTCAAAGAAAAAGAAAACTGTATCCATAGAAAATGCTTTAAGTTGTCTCAATATAAGACTAAGTTGGGACAATATAGTTATATATTTTCTCAAACTTTTTGTAATGAACATGGATTTCAATTTTAAAAAGAGGAAATGAATTTCACGAAGAATATGGGCCCATTTTGATCTAGACCGTAAAACCTCATGAAAACCGTCTTCTTGTCAATGCAGAACTTCATTCTCTGCACCCTTCATCGGGTTAACAGTTTGAAGAACTTTTATACGCTTTAAAAAATGAAAATTGAGGTGGGCTTTGAAATAACTTACAAAAGTAAGATTAGGAGAGAAAAAGAGGTATCTTTCTGAGAAAAAAACTCCTCAACTTTTTAGGTATATATTTTACCTTGATGCATTCTATCAGCCAAACCAAGGCTGCCACAATGTGTGGCCAGGTATGAGGGGCTCCCACTGTATACATGGAGCTCTTAGAGAGTGCAAATGGGTACCTAGGAAAAATTAAATTATATTAGAAAAATAATAGCTAACTCTGCATATACCCCAGTGTCTCAGCTTAGAAGGTATTTGAGATTTTATCCTAGCTATCTTACTGATTTTATGTTCTTTTAAATTTATTCTCTACAGGTTACTTTGTACTTAACTCCTTAAACTGCAGTGTTTAATAGTCAGTGTATCAGACTTCTCCCAAAAGAACTTTTAGTCACCCGAATTAAATGTATCCCTAATAAAGCACATATAAAAACCACCTGTCACTAAATCCACTTCCCTCCTTGTGCTTACTCTTGTTTTGAGACAAGCTCCCTATGCAGCTCACAATCCCCCTCCCTCAGCTTCCTCAAGTGCTGGGATCACAGGCACATGCCACCATATTTGGTCTGTGTTTAGTCTCTGCTGTGCTTCTGAACTTCATCTCACTGTTTTCGTTGGACCTCAATGTTCTGCTTCTCTCAGTTCTGTGGTAATCAGCCTGTGTTTCCTATTCCTCATTGTTTGAACCTTATGCTCTATCACCCAAAATTCTATAATAAGCTATATAATAACCTATAATAACCACAGCTATGGTCTGCATGTTCATTCTGAAGAACTTGGAAACTCAGCTCCCAAAGCCATAGGTTAATGATATACCTAATATAATGATATACAGAAATGGGACCTTTGGGAGGATCAATGTGTTATTGAGGGAGAAACCTTGTTATAAATGCAAGCTCTTTCTGACACTTGCTCTGTCATGCTCTACCACATCATGACTCAGCAAGAGGCCCTTCCTTATTAGAGGCTGAGAGATGCTGGTGCCATGCTTCTGGGTTTCATAAGTATCAGAACCACGGGCTGAGCAACTCATATTCTTCATAAATTTCCAGCTCCTAGGTATTTGTTAGGGGAAAGACCAGATGAATACAACTATAGTCATTTTCCTTTCTCTTCAATTTATCCTATCCTCATAGTAGTCTTCTTAAAATTTAATTTACGAATTCAAACTCTTTACAAACTCACTGAATTTGCTTCTTCTCTGTATTCAAATAAGCAAGCTAGACTAATGAAAAATAGTACATACCCAAGGTCTTTAAAAATTCTTGGTATCTCTTCTTCAAATTTTGTGTCTGGAAGTTCATACGAAGGACACAAGAAACCATAAAGAAAGGTGAAGATCTTTAGGAAGTCTTTAATCGATGGAGCTTGTAGAGATTTCATGGACACACTATATGCATAACCATTTTCTGTAAGAAACTATGGTAATTTTTATGAAGTATCAAAAGTTTTAGAATAGGAAAATTAATAGAAAAAAACCACTCACGCTTCAGACTATTTAAATTAGAGAATACCTCACAGAGCTGTCGAATACACTGCTGAATGAATGCTTTGTCATTAAGTGGTCTTGGGTCCTTGATTTTTTCAGAACTGGAAAATATACCAAATTGACTATTCCGGGATCCATGTCCACTAGTTCTAGAAATATATTTTTTAAAAAGTCAATCAAAATTATTTTCTCCTGTGGTCAAATCTAAATTATTTCAAGGATACATAATTTTAACATCAGCATCAACCCGTCAACCTTTAAATAAACACAATTATATTTCTTAAAGTAGAGGGAGAGGACAGTATGAGGTTACAGGAGTTAACAGAAATTTTAGACATTAAACTGAAGTGGAATAAAAGCACTTCTAGAATGGGTGCAATGCTCTAAGCTCAATCCTCAGCACCACAAAGGTAGAAACAAACCAAACTTCTGGTACACTGTATTATCAGCACACAATCCTCTAAGAAAGGTACATTTCAAATCCACAGATCTGTACCAAGTATTCTACAAGCTTGTTCAATAGCCTACACACTTTCCTTTCTATTACCCTTCCATAACTGCTTCCTGGCTTCTACTCCACTTGTCACTATTCCTTGTGGGAAAACTGCCTTTGAGCATTAAGAGTTAACATACATTAAGAACTTAAAACGGGCTGGAGAGATACCTCAGTGGTTAAGAGCACTGGTTGCTCTTGCAGAAGACCTGGGTTCAAATCTCAGCACCCACATGGTAGCTAACAACCGTCAGTAACTCCAGTTCCAGAGGATCCAATGCCCTCTTCTGACCTCTATGGTCACAGCTGCATCTTCACACATGCAGGCAATCCACTCATATGGATAAAATACTACTAATAACACATTTAAAAATATTATCATCTCCTTTAATCAATTATCAGAACTGCTCTCCAAGAAGATACTGTTATTATCTCCATTTTTAAAAAATTTATTTTTATTTATGTGTATGTGTGAGTGCCTCTATGAGTGATTGTCATGTGTGCAGGTACCTTTGGAAGCCAGAAGAGAGCATCACATCCCATGGAGCTGGAGTTACAGGCAGCTGCGAGCTGCTGGACATGGGTGCTGGGAACTGAACTCGGTCCTCTGGAAGAGAAGCAAGTTCTCTCAACTAGTGAGGCACCTCTCCAGCTCCATTGTCTCAACTTTTATACACAAAGGAATCAAAGTACAAAGAAGTGAAGTCATCTACCCAAGGCCAAACAAGCAATAACATAATCTCGCCTGTTAATCTGTGCCCTGCCTCCAGTCTAGACAACTGTGGATAGGAGTCTAGATAGGAGGTCTCAAAGAGTTATCTAGGCATCACGGGAGTCAAATCTGTTTTCTTGAGAATACAATGAGCTTTCCAGAGACTGTATACATGATGCACATAACACTGTCCATCTAAATGCAGCAACAGACATAAGAACACAGCCACCATCAATCAAGTAGACATTTTAACAATGGGATGCTTCTCACTGAAACTGTTCTGTACTGTCAATGTTTAAAAAATTTTTAAGATTACATTCATTTATTTATTTTTGTGTGCATGAGTGTGCACATGTAACTTGTGGAGTTAGTTCTCGCCTTCCACCATGTGGGTCTGAGGGATTAAACTAAGGTTGTTGGGGCTTGGTGGCAAGTGCTTTTACTCACTGAGCCAACTTGATGGTCCAGCAATGTTTTTTAAAATTAAAATGTTTTATTTTGTAGCTATTATAAGATGAATTTAAGCCAGGTGTGGTGGTACATGCCTTTAATCCCAGGACTTGGGAGACAGAGGCAGGTGGATCTCTGTGAGTTCCAGGCCAGCCTGATCTACACAGTGAGTTCCAGGACAGCTGGGGCTATAGGAAAACCCTGTCCCAAAAAGACAATAAAAAAAAAAAAAAAAAGAATTTATATTCTGAAAATTTCTTAGTTTTAATTTCTAATATAATTAATAATGACAAAGATAATGAAAGCTCTTTGGAGGAACCATTAATCCTTAAGAGTGTAAAAAGGGCCAGGCTTGGTGGCACACACCTTTAATCCCTTCACTTGGGAGGCAGAGGCAGGTAGATCTTTGTGAGATCAAGGCCAGCCTGTTCTATATAGTGAGTTCCAGGACAGCCAGGGCTATACAGTGAGACCCTGTCTCAAAAACTCCAAAAAGAGTGCAAAAAGATTAAGACTCAAATGAAGTAGAGGAGATTCCTCATTTCAAAATCTGATTCCATAGTTCTGAGAACTAAGTACACAACTTCTCACTATTCCCTTGAACAGTGGAACAGTAGTTTGGTTCTCTTCATGTTTCTCTTGCCTCATATAAAGCAGTGACTACCTAGAATTGCAACTATCTAAATAGGAAAACTGCATAATTCTTGTCTTGAAAGCATCTGTGCAATCTTTTTGTTTCATATCTGAGAGCATCAATGAACAGCTATAAGAATTCATTCATTAAAATTAATAAAAACAATTTCATTACCTTTTACCAAATACTGAGACTTTTCGTTCAGATGTAGGTTTGTTTATACTCAGCTTCCCAAAGGTTGATTTCTCTTTGCTTTAAGGAAAAATAGAAGACAACTCTTTAGAATAAAAACAAGAAATCAGTTCAAATAACTTTGGAAATATGTCAGAAATACTTCTTCTCATTACCTACATAACTGTTCAAAACAAAAGAATCACAAAAGTTTTCAGTAGCTATTATGATTGTTACTGGCTGAAAGACAGCATAATTCTAAAACATCAAACATTTTATTTACATTGCTGTAATTTTTAAAAGATTTTATTTATTTTTATTTTATGTTTGAGTGTTTTGCCTGCATGTATGTAACATTATCACATGTGCACAGCTCACAGAGGCGGAAGAGAACATGGCATCCCCTGGAAATGGAGTTATAGATGGTTGTTAACCACCATGTGGGTGCTGGGAATTGAATGTGGGTCTTCTGCAAGGGCAGCCAGTGCTCTTAACCACTGAGTCATCTCTTCAGGCCTCATGGGGTTATCTATTTAAAGACAGGGTCTCCCTGTAGCCCCAGCTGGCCTGGAACTCACTATGTAAACCAGGGTGGCCTTGAACTGTGCTTCCTGAGTGCTGGGATTAAAGGTATGTGCTACCACGCCCGGTTATGGCTATATTTTTAAAATGTTCATTTATGAATAAGAATTGTTCAATCATAGGTTGACAGCTGTTTTATTTTTCTTTATTTAAAGCCACTTTTTTTTTTTTTTTTCCTGCTATAAGGTCTTACTCTGTATTCCAGTATGTCCTAGAACTCACTATGTAGTCTAGGTTGATCTCAGACTTAAAATTTTTCTGCCTAAGCCCCGAGTGCTAGTGCACACATCACACACACACACATCTACTCTTTATCAGAATGTTGACTTTAATATACATTTTCTGAATTATGGGCAAAACTGACAATGACAATCCTTTTGTTCCTAATACAATTCACTACACATCATCTTTCGATGTAAGCGATGTGCAATGGTAAAAGAAAACATGCTTATTCAGAAGTATACAAATAATTCAAATTTCAAAAGTAGCAGTGGCACACAGTAAACTTAGTAATAAAGGTTAACAAGCAACTTGTATGTACACTTTTCTGATATAAGTACACAGTGGTTTACAAATAACCTTCTGTTAACTAGAGCAAAAAACCATAGTTTTTGATAGCAAGTTCTTGTCTTTGTTTTTGAAACAAGGTTTCCCGCTGTAGGCCAGGCTGGGGAACTCACTATACAGCCCACACTGACCTGGAACTCAGTGATCTTCTTGCTTGAATATCTTGAGTGCTGGGATTACTGCGACCATGCCCAGCTATGATAGCAAATTCATCCAACATCCCCACCCCAGGGAAAGAGTTTGCAGAAGAAGTGTTCTGTAGCCTGTTACTACATTACAGTTTATCACCAGAACACATAATATTGCTCTGATTTGGTTACTGATTTCAGTGGTTGGAAATAGCTTAGTAAATTAAGAGTTACCACAGTGTTTGCTTAAACTAAAACAAAAGAAGAAAACAAAGTGTTGAAAGGGCATTGGCAATCCTTTTACAGTATTCCTGGTAAAACATCTAACTTTGGGAACTAGAGAAACAAATGAGAGGACTCACACCTGGTAGCATAGCCACTTTTGGATTTCCCTGACTTCAAATTAGGTACTACTGGGAACAGACAGGATTCACCAAGACATCACTCATGTGTCTTTGATTTAATCAATTTTTACACTTTCTTTGCCCAAGAGAGTAAAGTATGCAGCTAAGAACCACAGGTGAGGCACTTACGTTTGAGGGGTATAGAGGCCTGGTTTATTGAGGTCCACAGATCTTAACTCCTGCATGGAGAGGCGGCCAGCACCGCCAGTGGAAACTGAACTGCGCTTCATGCTTATAACCTAATTCATAAGTTCAATATATTAGAAAAGTGTTCCAGATTCAAGTGGTACAATACGCAACAATTATCATCTTTATCATTGAATAGAAAAGCAGCTGGGTTTGTTTCTTTATGATAATCTTTTCCTTGTGCTATGATGTTGAAGCCCTCATTTACAAAGAACACCTATGCAACATCAAGTACTCAATACACATAACACTAAAAGTGTACTAAGCAACACAAAAATGAACAATGTCTGATTTCTGAATCACATCCTGTTAACCCTGACTACAGCATTGCTGTCGCTTCCTCTATTTCAGTGGGAACACACAGGCTGCCTGTCAAGAACCTTGGGCAGCTTTACTCCCCTCGGAGTTTCCTTTCAGTTGTTTTCGAAGAAGGGGGTCATCTTCCTACTGTCAACCTCTTCTACTTTATGCTTAACTTATTGTTTCTCAGTTAATATTCATCACTGTCTTTCTGACTTTAATCTCCCCTTCAAAGAGCGTAAACCATCCAGCCCACAAAGTGATGTATAGGCTGCTTCTATTTTCAAAACACATTAATACCGAGTTCCTGTCTGCTTGACATCTCTGCAGCATCAGACTATCCATTCGTTCAGCCCTCTTGGGTCCTGCTCTGGTTTCCTTAGTCTGCTATACTGATGCACTGTGCATTTTTATTTCTTATTTTGCTTGAGCTGGGGATTGGTACCCAGGACCGCACGCTAGGCAGTGCTCGCCCACTGAGCCACAGCCCTTCTTTTCTGGCCGCTTATTTTTTCCCTCTGTGCATCTCGTCAGCGTTTCCACTCGCCCTTCTTCACACCCAATTTCCACTTAAAATTTACGCTCCAGATTTCGCGTCTTGCAGGCTTTCTCCTGCTACTAAGATGCTGCTACATTAAGCACAAGAACACAAGGTCCTCCCTGCCTCCATCAACGTCCCCAAAGCCCTTCCCCTTCTCCCTTCACACACAGTTGCCAACACAAATTTACTGAGCTCCATGAATGCAGCTTCAGGTGGATTCGAACCCAGGTGTCTTGACAACCAACTAGCACTCTGCGCCCCGGAAGAGCTGAGCATTAAAAAAGCCGACCCCATGTCATTAGTTACCTTTCTTTCCGTTTCCAGACGAGACCCTGCGGCCGAGTGTCTGCAAAGTGCACAACTACACGGAAACAGCCGCCAAAACAAGAGTTTCGGCCTCCGCCAACCTCGGGCCGTTGGAATTTTAAATAAAGCTCCGCCGAAGTGACGTCACCGCGCGCGCCGCGAATACGCACGCGCATTTTTCCGCGCAGGCCTGGTCTCCGGAAGTGTGCGTGTGGGTCGCACGGCGCTGCGCCGCGGATCTCAGGCGTCTCGGGGTGAGTGTTGATGCTTTCGTCGGTGTCTGCTCGGACACGAGCTGCTGGCGCCGAGGGCGTGGGGGCGACGTGGGGAGGAGCGGCGTGATCTTTCCGTACAGCAACATGGCGGCGCCCGTGGACTCCGGAAAAGAGAGTTCTTTGGTCTGTCCTGACCAGGTTTAGGTAGGTATTGTTTCCCCATGAGAGCCTGCGGTGGCGGAGTGCACGTTTTGAAGGGCGGAGCAGGGAGGTAGGCGGAGGCTGTTGCGTGTGCTCCCATTCTGCGGGTCTAGAGGCCGGGGAGAGTCGAGGGAAGTAGCTATGGCGTGCACCGACTTCCCTCCTCTTTGAGTTTGGAATCCCAGGCGGGCATTGCCAGTTCTCAGACAGACACCTCTGAGCAGAAGTTTGTATACTTGGGTCTTGTAACTGTTGTGCCCTTAACTAGGATTGTAGTGTAAGGCGAGCAGCCTCTCTTTTCTGAGTTTCCCTAGCGACCACTGAGCTTCCTCAGTCTACATGGTGACTTTGAAGGGGATACCAAGTATCACCCGGATCCCCACCACCAATAGCAGTTAGCAGTTAAGTTAGCAGTTGTGTTTAAGGCATTGTGGGTTATGTCACTCTAAACTGATTGATAGCAATAGTACATAAAAATGATGACTTTGAGACTCGGTGAGATAAAGAAACTTGTCCACAGTCATATGCATAAGAAATCTGAGTATAAATGCTGTTGTTATTATGTTGTATTATCATTGGGTATAAATGCTATTTTTAAAATATTTATTATTTTTATTTTATGTGTGTGAGTGTATTGCCTGCATGTATGTAAAGGCACCTGTACCTGCAATGCCCACGGAAGTCAGAGAGGGTGTTTGATCCCCTGGAATTGGAGTTATGATGGTTGTTAGCTGCCATGTGGGTGCTGAGGACTGAACCTGGGTCCTCTGCAGGAGCAGCCAGTGCTCTTAACCGATAAGCCATCCTTCCAGCCATTATTATTATTGTTATTATCATTATTCGCTGCGCCATTAACTTATTTCTTAATGTCAGCTTAAGATGTCTACTACATTGTATTTAAAAAGGTATATACAGGACAGCAAACTGTATTTTGAATCAAGATAAGGAAGTTCTGAAAAACCTATTTGTTAGAGTGTGGCTCAGACCAATCTAGACCTTTAATCTTGAAGTTTTATCCTAGCAAACTAGTTAGCTTTGTGCTTCATCACTATTCATTTGCTTTGACTAGACCAATCTTTAAGCTGTACTGTTTCTCCACTGAGAACTGCTAAGTAGGGCAGTGATCCTGAGAATGGGGTGATTTACAGTGGTAAGTGTAGTTTGAAAACACAAGGGCTGCTAATAGGTAATAACTCCTCTTGAGATTTTGTAACCTCTTCTAGATAGGTTTATTTCCGTAACAAGGATGAATTCTGGCAGGCAATTACTATTCTTTGACTTAACGGGACATTTTCTCCTTTTAAGGATTCAGTGACTCCCAGACTTGGAGGATGTTGGACTAGTCTTATATCTGAGGATGAGAGAAGGAAGTTGTGTGGAGACACTGAAGAGAGGAGGATCAAATTGGGGTTCCATAGAACATGCTACAACTGTCTTTGGCCAACTTGGCTGAAACATTTGAATGATCAACTCTGAAACGAAAAGAATATAAAGTATTGCCTTTTTCCTTAGAGCTGCTGCATATCATATCAGGAATGCTAAATTCTTTCATGTCCCTGTCCATATGATATTCTTGTGTATCAAATCTTCTGTATCTGAAATACATCTTTATTGAAATATAGGACATTTAAGAACTTAATTCTCAAAGTTGGGATTTATTTATTTATTTTGTTTCAGCACTGGGGATTAAACCCAGGGCTTCTACTACTGAGCAACATGCTTAGCTTTAGCTTGTTTGATTCTTGATTCCAAAATTTGTTTTTAAAGAGAATGTCTGTGGTCCACCATTTGTCCCCGGGATGGCTACTGGATCATCTTTCTTTCATTAACAAGATAAACTATCAAGTTCAGCATCATGAGCCTTCCTGCAGTAAACATGGGCCCCCTTCTGTCTATGTTAATTCTCTTCAGAGGGGTGCTGTGTCTTCTTTGGGAGCTTCTGCTGGGTGTTCTGTTTCTGACTCTACCAAGACAGAGAATGAGGTTGGAGGAAGTCGTGAAATGACCACCCCAAAATACGTTTTCCGACCTGAACTATTTAACGTTAACAAACCTTACATAACAGCAGCTGTTCACAAAGAATGCCAGCAAAGTAATGGAAAAGAAGATCTAGCAAATGGTGTCAAAAAAGAAACCTCCATTTCTGTTGGGAAGGTAGGTAGTTTAAAGACTTGCTGTTTCTCTACATGAAACAAAATTTTCATTCCAGTATCTCAAATATCTTGTGATTTGTTAAAGTTTAAATAAGGGTCAGTAATGTGGAAGAAGGTATTAACTTATCCAGAGCATTTTTTCTAATATTTAATATTTTTGTTGAGTTTTTGTGCATTTCCTATATTACATTTTAATCAAATTTAGACTCACTCCCCCTTCCCACCCTCCATACCCTCCCCACCAGATTTCAGGTATTCTGTCATATATGTTAAGTCCTATCTGGTCAAACATTTATACCCAGATGTCCTTCAGTGCAGGCTTATCCACTGGAGTTTAGTCAGCATATCTAGAGTCACTCCCTTAAAGAAGATCTACTCTCCCTTACCCCACGGTAATCATTTGCCAGTAGTTCCTTGGCTAGGGCTGGGGCCTGCTGCCCACTTCCCCTATTCTGTGTTGGTTTTTCTGTCTGATTGAGTGGACATGGGTCTTGTACATGACTCCAAGTTCTTATGAACAAGTTTCTGGTGGCCTGAAAGCCTCTGTTTCCTTATGTTCATGCACTAACTCTCTTACAATATTTCTGTCCCAATTTTTTTCTTTGAAACAGTCTCACTATGTACCCCTGGCTGGCTTGGAACTTGTTATGTAGACCAGGCTGGTCTTGAACTCACAGAGATCTGCTTCTCTCTGCCTCCCAAGTGCTAGAATTTAAAGGTGGGCACCACCAGGCCTGGCTTTCAAAGCATTTTTTTGTTTGTTTGTTAAGACAGGGTCTCCTAGCTCAGGTTGGCCTTGAACTCACTGTGTAGCAGAGGATAACAAACTTCTTTTCTTGCTCCAGTTCCCAAGTGCTGGGATTCAAAGCTTGTGCCACTACACCCTATCTTTTATTTTTATTTCCTAACATTCTATCATTCTAGAACACCAAATTACATGTTTCAAGAAATGAAGGGCTGTCGAGATGGCTCAGCAGGTAAAGGCATCTGCTGCTGAACCTGAGAACTTGAGTTCAATCCCTGGGACCCACATGGTGGAAGGAGAAAACTGATTTTCCAGAAGTTGTCCTCTGACTTCCTCCATGGAGTGCCATGCCTCATGTACTCACTCTCCTACAGTAAATACATGTGAAAAAAGAAGTCGACAAAGGTGGCTCAGAAGTGAAAATTCTGTGTAGTATTGAGTGTTTTTATACCTGTTTTTGCTTTGAAAAATAAGTTTCTATGCAAAATTCTAAGTAGTGAATGAATTTTAGAGGCCTATCCTTTGGGGATAAGCTCATACAATAAAAGTTTGAAAGAAGGGTGATAGTAATTTTTTAAGGATTTATTTTGTTTATGTGGATTAATGTTTTGACTGCATGTATGTGCACTGCTTACCTGGTGCCTATAGGAGGCCAAAGGGTAACAGATCCCCTGTAACTGGCGTTACATGTGGTTGTGAGCCACCTTGTGGGTACGGGGAATTGAACTAAGTGCTGGTTCTCTTCAAGACCAGCATGCACTCTTAACTGCTGAACCATCTCTCCAGCTCAAAGGGTGATATTTTTGAAAAGCGTTTTAGTGATGAGTGGAAAGCTACTGTGGAAATTTATGTTTAGAAGGTTTGTGTGTTAAGTATGTACATTGGTTCAGTCTTTTAAAACTCTGAGTGTGGTAGTACATACCTGTAATTCTCACACTTGAGAGGTGGAAACAGGAGGATCAGGAGTAAAAGGCCATCCTTGGCTATAGAGTGAGTTCACCGCCAGCTTGGGTAATATGAGACCCTCTCTTAAGAAGAATCCTAGCACAAGGGGGGCTGGGGCAGAGGGCATAGCAAGTTCCAATTCAGACAGGGCAGGTTTAGTGAGATCCTGTCTCAAAAGACCAAAAGAGACAGGCATGATGGTGCGTGCCTTTAGTCCCAGGACTCGGGAGACAGAGGCAGGTGAATCTCTTGTGAGATCAAGGCCAACCTGGTCTATGTAGTGAGTTCCAGGCTAGCTGGGGCATGGAGACCCTGTCAAAAAGCAACCCCTTAATAGAAACCACAGATAAACAATTTAAAATTATAGCTGTATGTTCATTGCTTTTGTATGGAGTTGTGAGATGTATAATATTGCCAATATTAATTTGCATCTAATTCTTTCAATTCTAAAGATCTTTAAAATGTCTCACTACATTTAAATTTTTTGTTGTATAGGAGCACAAGTGCCAAAGTGTGTGTATGGAGGTGAGAGGACAACTTGTGGGAGCCGATTCGGGCTTTCCATCTTGTGGGTCCTGAGGATTGAATTTAGGTCATTGGGTTTTGTGGCAAGTGTCATTTTCCCAGCCCTCTAAAGATCTTTTAAAGTGACTTTTCAGAGAGAGAGAGAGAGAGAGAGAGAGAGAGAGAGAGAGAGAAAAGGGGAGGGGAGGGGAGGGACGGGACAGGACTTGCCCTCTAGCCAGGCTAGCTTTGAACCTGATCCTCCTGAGTGCTGGCATTATAGCCGTGTATCATCACCATACCTGGATCGTAGGATTTCCTCTGCGTGTGTGTGTGTGTGTGTGTGTGTGTGCTTGTGTGTGTGTGTGCTTGTGTGTGTGTGTGTGAGAAATAGGGTCTTAAATAGCCCAAGCTGTCCTGGAACCTGGCATTCATTATGTAGCCAAGGATGACCTTAAACTCTTGATCCTCTTCCTCTCAAGTGCTGGGATTACAGACCTGGGACACCACACATGACTTTGAGATGTTCTTTGATAGCCTATCTATAGTTCCTCTTTTGGGAAATGAAGAATGTTGAAAGTAAGTGTATTGTTCATTCATACACACACACACACACACACACACACACACACACACACACACACTGATAGGTAACTCTGGTAATTGCTTATAAGATAGAATCACAATTCCTTTCTATTCCATGGACCTTTGCATTTATTTTTATCTGGATGGAAATTATTACCTTTTAAAAGCTGAGTACAGGGCTGGAGAGATGGCTCAGTGGTTAAGAGCACCTGCTACTCTTGCAGAGGACCTGGGTTCAGTTCCTAGCACCCAC